ATTTAAAGTTTATTAATTATAATCCGAACATTTATTTTTAATAATTCTTCGTTTGATATTCTAAACAGATCTTTTATATTACTATTTAAAAAAAAAATTCGAATCATCAAAAAATAAAATAACATTACAAATTTTGGATACTAAATATAAATCATTTATATAGAGTAGAAATAATAGTAGGCCTAAGATTGATTCCTGGGGAAGGCCACAAGTTATAATATGTTTTTCTGTTTCATTTGCTGAATATATTATGTAATGTTTTTTGTTTGAAAGGTAACTTTTAAGCCATAGTAAGTTATTGTTTAGTATTCCATACAGTTCTATTTTTTTTTAAAGAATATTATGGTCAACAGTGTCAAATGCTTTAAACAAATCAATAAAAACTTCTAATGTATAATAATCATTATTGAACCCATTGGAAATATAATTTATTAGCTCGATTAGCGCATGATCCGTTGAATCATTCTTTTTGAACCAAATTTTTTATTATACATTATATTACTCTCAGTTAAATAACTATTTCGTCATATACTTAACTCGTTCTAACAGTTTTGAGAAGCATGGTAAGACAGAAATAGGTCTATTATTAGACATATTTGTGTCATCGCCAGATTTAAAAATAGGTATGATCTTTGCGATAGATTAAAAATGTAAAACAGTGACGTTTTAATAATATCCAACACTGCTTTAACAACATTCACGCTAATTTGATCTATGCCAGAACATTTATTATTTTTTAGACAGTTAAAGGCATTTCGCAACTCACTTATGTTTAATTTTATTTCTTTCATAGATGTTTTGGTTGATTTCATATAAGATTCAAAGTTTGATGTGTTTTTTGGAATTTTATCAGCTAACAATGGGCCAATATCAAGAAAAAATTTGTTGAGGTTTTTAATTATGGTTTCTTTATTATAAATAATTTCCACGTCAACTAAGAGTTTTTGTAGCAAATTATTTTTAGGACATTCATTTTTACCGATTATTTGCTTAATCACATTATATAATCACATTATATTTATATCATAAAGTGGTATAAATAAAGTGCTTTAATAATACTTAACTTATGCAAGAAAATATTATACTTTTATTTTAGAGTAAAGCAACGTTCTCATGCTTTAGTTTGATATCTTAACATTAATATGTTCAATAACAAAGTAATGTGCAGGACCAGGACAGAGTGGGGCAATATGATACATGGGACACCATGAAACATTGTAACTGCGGAGGCATCTTAAGAGTTGTGACAACGACTTTCATAAAGCGAAACAGCTACTAATAGAGCTATGTTTTAAAAAAAAAATTATATTATTTGACATCATTAGATCTACGTGGGGTCGAAATTTGTGTATTTTTGATGACAAAGTTATTTATTAGTTTTTAAAGCTCATAAGTTTTAAAGTGTCTTATTCAATGTGTCTATCGATAAGTGACATTATTTTGTAAACTAAAATCCTTAAGCTTTTCACTTCATTAGACAAAATCATTTAAAAAACAAGTCGATATTAAAAATAAAGCGATCGTTTTTTATTAGCAAGTATGGGGTAACATGATACAGCATTTGTCCCATTTCGATACAAAGCCATTGTTTATTGACGCTTAAGAATGATACTTAAAACGACATATTATCTGGCCTTCTGAAATGTGACTTGGACCATTGGAAACATTATTTGAGTTATAAATGTTATTTTGTTCATATTTCAAATAAAAATCTGCCTTTTCTCAATTTTTTATACTTTTTATTTAACGATGCTCGTAGTGTTTATCAAGGTACACCATAGGTGGGGTACCTTGAAACAAATTTCTAATTTTACTTTAACTATTCTCAAAAGTTTAACTTGTTATATTTTGGTAATTTATAGAATTTATTTTTTAGGTATAAATTCATTCTACAAATTAAACCAATCGCTTAAAAAAAAGGTGTATGAAAAAATTTGTTACGATGCAAAAACCAAAAGTGTGTCTTGGTACCCCACTCTTCCTACTCAATGTATATAAATAAACTTGGCAAACATTTAAGGAAAGAAATTAATAACAAAAAAAGCATTGAAATTAAATCCTTCATTCAAAAATTGTCGTTGAATAATCGAAAAATAATTGAAAAATGAACAAAACATTGAAATAAGATATTAAAAATTAATAAGTTAATAAGTACGAAAAACTAAATACATAGTTTAAAAGCTAAAGTTAATTTAGAAGTACGAAAAAAGTTTAAAAATTGAAAATGAATATGAATACTTTATTTTTTTTAAATTAAATTCAAATGTGGAATTTTTTTTCTATTTTAAAAAGGAATTTTAAAAAACATTGAATGTTTCGCTTGGTAACCTATTTCTTTTTTTTGTAACAAAATCACTGGCAGTGTAAAAATTTCATTGTTTTTTTTTTTTATGTAGGATTTATTGTTGACAGTACATCCTTTAGAAGTTCTAAATGTTTTGCTCTGGAACCATTTGTTTGAAAGATATTGCTTATTGTTTTACTATTACTTTTGTAAATACTATCCACAGTATTAATTTCTTTAATAGTGTCTTCAATTAATAAGTTTAATTAATCTTGAAGAAATAAATGTACTTTATTACAGAGATAACCGTACTTTATCATTACATTCTAATTCCGTTTCAACATTAAATAAATCATCGTCGTTTTCATCACTCTCCGTTTCCAAGCAGTACAATCTAATTCGTATGACTTCAGCAGTTTTAAAAATTTCATTCTTTGGTGCAGATTAAAAAAAAAAAGCGAGAGTATCTTTGTCGTAATAACTTGGGTTTTGTAAAAATTTATGCAGAGATCCAATATTATTATTTCTTCTGATATTGATTTCTTCTTTTCTATAGAAATTCTTGACTTATTTTAGAATTAACTTACCTTAACTTTCCAAATAAAAATTTTAAAGACCTTTCTGCAATTAATAGTGTGGAACCATCTCAGTTTTAACTCTCAATCGTTAAACTTAAATGCTCTAAAACAATTAATGTTTCATGCAAAATTGATATAATGATCTTTTCATAAATGATTTAAGTTTAGCTCCGAAAAAGCCTTTTTATTATGATTTCTATTGTATTCCATTTTTTTTTACAACCCAAAAGTAAAGCTAATTCATTAGATTCTTATCTCTGTAATACATCATTTTTTATAGATTTTTTAAATTTCTTTACAGTTCTCCGTATATCTTCAATTGTATTTTTAATTGAAGTATTCAATTGCAGAACTTTCTGTTCCTGTACATTATTTTCCAAATCAAATTAATTTTCTGAAAAATCATCTTCATCTTCAACAACTACATCCGAACCATCAATACGATAATCAATTTTATCGTTGCATTTCTTTTTTTTCGAATAAAATATTTTTATAACTGCAGGATTTAAAGCATGGTTGTAACATAGTTGCAAATATGCAGGAGAAAATCTCCCGAATTTTTGCATAACAGACGCTCCATCACTCATTACAGCTACAATATCTTTGTCTAAGCACAGATCAACGAGTTTTAATTTTTCTTTTAATATTTCTAGCGTCTTTTCAGCTGTAAAACTACCTTCAATATATATCAAACCCAGTTGTACGAGCCTTTAGAATTTATCATTCATTAATAGAAACAATGAACTTTTTCTGTTCCTCTTTTAAATTCCTATTATTTTTTACTAGCTCCTCTTTCTTAATATGATAAAATTCTATCATTAATTGTCGTATTTCAAGGGGACGATGTATTTCAAGGGGACGATGGGGCTTGAATCCTCTTGCAGTCATAATACGTCGTATTATCCGTCGTCATATCCTTTTTTTTATCTGGTTAAAAGAGAATCTATCTACAGCTGTCATTTTAGATATTATTTCTTCCAGACTTGTCCGGTTTATGAATGTTAAAATTGTTTGATTATTAGTACCACTCAATTATCGTTTCACTTGTTGACGAGATGTCAATGGGGATGATGTAGGGGAGCAAGTACTAACGATTTCGGCTTCTTTTTTTTGGAATTCGTGGACATCTTGTAGATGCTGGTGGACATCTTTATATATTTTGCTCATTTCTGTTGATAAAAAAACTAGTAATATAAATCAAATATCTAAATGATAAAAAAAAAAAAATTTACGGAAGAGTCAGGTTTACAAAGTTTATTGTACCAACTATTTTTAAAAGTTAATTTAATCTTTTATTGATTATAAGAATTGCAGTACAGAAATAAAACAAAAAATAACTATTGATTACCTAATGATAGTTATCATATCTAACAAATTACTTATACTAAATTATTTACCTAACCCTTTGCACCTAGATGCGCTGCATTTTAGCATTTTTATTTTATAAATGTTTGAGAATTTAGAATTTGTTCTCTTTTTTTTTTACAGTAAATATAATTTTTTCAAGTTAAACTCCCTTCAATTCAAGTTAAACTCCCTTGACATTTACTTATAATTACAAAATCGTTAATAGTTACTTTACAGTTACAGTCATTAAAAAGTAAACTTAATATACCAACAAAGTACTAACATACTCGCTACATTAATTCACCATACATTTGCGTGCTAACAAATTTTTTTTAGTTTTCTCGAGAAATATTAAGAAAATGAGAAAATTTAAAACAAAAAAAAAAATTAGAAAATTTAAAACAAAATTTCTCGAGAACAAAACTACACTTGATTAACTACAGATACGATCATAGCTCATCATCGTTTTTCATAGCTGTCAATTTCCTTTCTAATCTCTACTACAGATCTTTTTAGCTGGTCTAATCTTTTGTATGGGATAAAATATTTTAATTAAGAAATTCAAAAATAAAACCAAATTAAAAATTTGCAACGACCTAAAGTCACTATATTATAGGAAAAGGGACGTAACGAGAGCACGTTACTTTTCTGACATAGTAAACGTAACGTGCGCTCATGTTACCTATAGAGTGTCATAAAAAAAGAGCGTATAATACCGCCATAAAAAAAGAGCGCATGCGCACTATTATAAAGATTACATTAGCGCATGCGCACTGACATTAAAAAGACAGTAACTAGAGTAATTATTCGAAATTTTACAACTATTAGAAATTACTTTTGATTAAAAATAATATAATTTATCGATATAAATTTATAAAAAAATATTCACAAATTTATTATACAATATGAAATCCACAACGCTCAATATTTTCGAAAATTAAAATGACTTCATACACAATGTTCTTTTTCTTTTCTTGTCAATTAAATGGCATATATCCTCTTTGCTGGAGAAGTAAATTCATTTTGATGAAAAGAAATCTTTGCAAAAAATATATTTTCAAAGAATATTATCTCTTATGTTAGAAAACGCCTATGATACTTGTAAGAAAACTATTTTTTATGATGATCTACGTTTGTCTAGGCTAAGATAATTCTATCATTTGACTTAAAGTACTATGATATTTCTGCGACGGAAAATTTATCTTGTCTATAAAAACAAAAAGTTCGTCTGCCGCTAATGTGTTAGATAGCTTAGTGAGGTAAGTCGCCAAACGAAAAAATTCCATTTCTAATAGGGTTTCCTCATGCATAAGAAGAACACCTAAAACAATTATTTTTAAATTATTTATGAACTAATGCTTAATTATATAACATAATTTTGGTAACTAAGGACTAAAACTTACCTAGGGCAGTTTTAAAAAGAAATTCTTCGCCATCTCTAAAGAACAAATCCCAAACACGACAGGCAGTATCCAAAGGTAAAGATTTGCTGTACATGGTAAAAATCCTGAAATTTATTTAGAAAAATGAATAACAAGGAATAATGAATTTCAAAATTCACATATAAACTTACCAATCTTAAAGATATATATCAAAAATCCACTTTCCAACCTTATACATGCAAATATAATTGTCGTACTTACCAATCTAAGAGATATATGTCGTGGCTCAAACACTCTTGTTTGAAATGATAATGCAAACGAGGAATTTGATCAGCTAAGACAACATCAAACGTTTTAAAATACGCACTCATCTATATAAGATAAATACAAAATAATTTCGTATGAGAACTGTATATTTGAAATCTAAAAAAGTGTAAAACAAAAAAAAAGTTATACTTAATAAATCTTTTTTATGTTATTATATTATCGTATGTTATTGGTCTCAAATTGCTTCTCTTTTTTTAGAGGTTTTAAGTTTAAATTTAAAACTTCTTTCAAGTTTCAAGTTTTAAAGTACTTTTTCCAATAGGTTAATATGAGATAAAGTTTACACACGAAACATATTAAAATCCGTATCTTATTTTATGTTGTTTACTTTTTTTTCTTTCTAAAACAGTAGTGTTCATAAAGTGAGGGGGTTCTAGAGTTAATAAAATAGTAAAATGTTCATAAAGTGAGGGGGTTCTAGACTTTATAAAACAATAAAATGTTCATAAAGTGAGGGGGTTTTAGACTTAATAAAACATTAAAGTGTTCATAAAGTGAGGGGGTTCTAGATTTAATAAAATTTCATGAAATTTATAATTTAATTATAAATCATGATCTTTTTTATAAACTTTTTTCTTCAAAATATTTGTTCCTATGCTCCAGTTGTCGTAATTTTAGGCAAAATATTTTCATTTTAAAGATTATTCTCATTCTAATGAATGTTTACAAAAAAAAGCTGCAACTTTTCTCATTCTTAACATAAACATATTTAGAATAAATATGTTTATGTTAAGAATGAGAACAACAAAATAATGTTCTGAGAATAACAAAATAATGTTCTGCCTCCAAAAACATGCAAAATCTCAAATTAAAAACTCCGAAAAATAAAAGGCCACAAAAATTATTTAAAGAACTTAATCTAATATTATCTAAAACAATAGTATTTTACTTAATTTGTTATTTAACTTTTTGTTGATCTGTCTGAAGCATTGGATATCATCAAGTCATAACTGTTGAACAAACTGCAATGGTATAAAATTGAAATGAACTTGAATTAATAACTAAATACTTTTAGTTATTAATTCAAAACAAAAATAATTCAAAACCAATAGTAAAAATTCAAAACTAAAGTAGATTTTAAAAAGTATTCTCTGAGGAAAAAGCTCTCCTGTTCAGTGTTTGGATTTAGGATTATTACTATTTCATAACTCATAATTTTATTGAATGACTTAAAAGGCAAATAAATTCTATTCTGAACAGCAGCAAAACTGAAAAATTATCAAGATATTAATTTTTTAACCCACAAGAAACAGCTCTGTTAGCAACAATTAGATTCAACATTTAGATTAAGAAACAAAAATTTTTGCAGTGGACATGTGTACTGCAAAAATTTGCTTAAAATGAGTAGAATTTTAACCAAACCTTTTGTTAAAGTAGTAGTTTTGTTAAATATTCTCAGAAATACCTTAAACTATTTAGATGCCATTTCAGTCAAAAATTCCTATCTTTAGTTAATACTAGTAAAGTATACTTGAGTAATATTTTCAAAAATTTCAATTTTATTATTAAACCATTAAAATATTTAGCAGTTTAATAATTATTAACAGTAACTAGCAAATAATAAATTATTACTAACATTAACTACTAAACAACTTACGCCTCAACACGATCTAAAACACATATATGAGCTGTAACTTCCACTAAACAAATTGTAGCAAATTTAACTTTTTACTACTTGTCTGATGATTGTGGTAACACATAAAACTCTGAGTAGCAATATTCTATTATAAATATTAGCATTTAGCTAATTCCTGATACTGCAGGTAACAGTAACTAATATTTTATTATATATACATATTTATATATTACTTTACATAGCGATGTATGTATATATATGTATATATATATATATATATATATATATATATATATATATATATATACACACATACATATATATATATATATATATACACATACATATATAAATCTATATATACAAATATAAATCAATATATATATATATATATATATATATATATATATATATATATATATATATATATATATATATATATATATATATATATATATATATATATATATATATATATATATATATATATATATATACATATATATATATATATATATATATATATTTATAAAGGTTTATAAACAAAAACATACAAAAAATTATGAACTCATATAAAAAAAAACCTTAGTTAAAGATATAATTGACAATATATCTTTGGAATACCATTGCTTTTATTATTATTATTTTTATTTCAAAAATGTTAAAATCTCTTTTTTTTTTTTAAACAACATTTAAAAAAACTAATTTGTTAATTTATTAATTAATTTAATTAATTTTTTTTTTCAAATAAAATTAAAAAAAAAGTATTTTTAAAATTCGTAAATGTTAATTTTTTTATAAATATATATACCATTTGTTGGTTAACTGTATAAAAAGCCATTTGACATGGTCTGTTCAAAAGGTTAGCAAAGGCAATAAAAGCATCTTGAAGATCCATGTTAAGAAGCAGCATGGCAGCAACAAAAGACATACCTTGGGCCTAAAAAACAAATTTTAATTTAGTATAAAAGTTGTATTTGTTCTATTTATAAATGACTTAGGCTGATAATTGACTAGGCTAAAGTTGGGTTTCATAAAGTTAAGCTGGAGCCAGGACTATATATATATATATATATATATATATATATATATATATATATATATATATATATATATATATATATATATATATATATATATATATATATATATATATATATATATATATATATATATATATATATATATATATATATATATATATATATATATATATCCTTATAGTGTAGTCGAAAGAGTCTTTTAATGTAAAAAAAGTCTCTTTCGACTACAATTTTAATTACCTCGTCTCTTAAGGTGTATTTGATTGTCGTCGAAATGTCAAAGCAATTAAATTAATGCGGAAGTACGGTTATGAAATGCGGTTTTTTTAAAAAAATTTAAAAAAACCGCAATAATAACGACTAGTAAGTTTTTTTTAATTAGTGGTGTTTTTGTTTTTGTTTATTAAAAAACATTTTTAAAACATGTGTAAATGTTGCTACATCGACTATCTTATAGCCTGCTGCTACAAGGGAGTGTTTCTACATCGACTATCTTATAGCCTGACTCGCAACGAAGTGCTGCTACATCGACAGACAAATAGCCTGACTCGCAAGGGAGTGCTGCTACATCAACTGACAAATAGCCTGACTCCCAAGGGAGTGCTGCTACATCAACTGACAAATAGCCTGACTCCCAAGGGAATGCTGCTACATCGACTGAGGGTTTGGTTTGGGCAGGCAGTCTATCATTTAAAAAAAAAAAAAATTAAAGTATTTAAACTTTTTCTGGTCTGGTTTATTAACGCGCTCTTTAAAACTACAGTTTATGGGAAACTCTTTTTGACTACCATGCAAGAGTGTATATATATATATATATATATATATATATATATATATATATATATATATATATATATATATATATATATATATATATATATATATATATATATATATATATACATATAAATATATACATGGTAATATATATATATACGGTATATATATATACGGTAACATATATATACATATATATATATACGGTAAAAACAACATAAATTCAATTACTCAGTTAATGAAATTAACAATTCAACAAATGAACGTGATCTTGGTGTAAATTTTGATACATCACTGAAATGGAAGAAACACATGTAACATGTTATTCAAAAGCAAATGCAATAATGGGGATGATAAAAAACACCTTTGTCCATTTAGATCAGTATCCTGTCAAGAAATTAAAAACAACTTTTGTTAGACCTCTGATTAAACTTGCAGCTTAGTGACAAGTTTGGTCACTAAACTACAAAGATGGCATTAAAATATTAGAAAAAGGACAGCACAGAATGTCAAATAAAATAAGAAGTCTGCAGTACCAATACTGTTTACAGACACTAAATTTAACAACAATGTCACAAAGAGGAGATCTTATTCAAGTATTTAAAATTTTCAATAAAATCAAAAAAGGAAAATTTTTAAACAAACAAGCTTTCTCAAAATCATGCAGAGGTCACAATAAGAAATACAGTAGAGAACAAACCAAGTTTATATCGAGACACCAATTTCTTATAAACAGAACAGCAAATTTATGAAACACATTGCAATTGGAAATTGTCAATTCAATAAACGTAAACAATTTCAAGAACAAATTAGACATATTTAGCATTAAATATTAATTTTGAAAATATTTTTGTTTAAATTTTCAGATTGAATTGTTGTATATTATCAAAAGCTGTCAAAGTAGTTAAAATGTAGCTGCATTAGCTTGCTGTTAATGCAGCTAAAGTTTTAACTACTAATGCTACCTTTTTAAAGAAGGTATAAAAAAAAAATGTGTGAAAAAGTATTTTTTTTTTAATTATTGTTTAAAAATGTTAGTTTTTTTTTTAAAAATAAATTTTAAAAACTGAATTTTATTTAAAATTTTTATTTTTGTAAAACTTTCTATTAAATTTTTCGTCTTTTAAGATCCAAGTTGATATACTTTTAGAGAGAAATATTTTATGTAATATATGGCACCCACCATGTCGCCAGGTGTTTTGGTATGGTAACTTTTTTTTTTTAAATTAACAAAAGAATTGCGATTTTCTTATTCTCTTATTAATATTATTCATTGTTATCAACTACAGGCCAAAAAATAAAATGAAAAAAGCAAAACAAAATTTATTTAAATTTCAAACAAACTAATTTAAAAAAATACATATTTATATTTAAATATTTTAAATAAAATATTTAAATAAAAACAAAAATTTTAATTAAATTTTAAATTAAATAATAATAAGGGAAAAAAAAAATGCTTTATTCTAATTCTTAATAAAATAAAAACGACATAACAAACATTTTACTAAAATTCTAAATACAAACCTATTATTTAGATTGTAAACAAAACAACCATATAACATATATATAGGCCTCGGCGGGAAGCAGGAGCTTTAGCTCTCGCTTCCCGCCTTTTGCCCACACTCCCCTAAAACAGTTTTTTTTTTTTTTTTTTTAATTTGCATTTACTCCCAACAAGGCTGCAAGCAACCATTATTAAGTTGGGAGTTACTAGGAAAAAAAAAAAAAGAACAGAGTTATAGAGCAAGGAAACGGTTGACAGAAGACTTGAAAAGTTGAAGGTTGTATGAGTCAGGAAAACATGAAGATGGGAGAGAGTTCCAAAGGATTGAAGGGCGGGGAAAGAAACTAGATGAATAAAAGTTTTTAGAGCATGCAGGGACAGATACAGTAAACGAATGAGACTTTGCTGAATGACGAGTAAAACGAGAATGAATTTTAGTTGATGGAACTAGAGATGATAACTCCTTTGAGCAGTGACCATGATAGTATCTGTAGAAAAGAGAAAGAGATGCATTTTTACGACGATGGGAAAGAGGTTCAAGCTTAGCAGATAGTCCAGGTCCAACAACATTTACAATGCGTTTTTGTCAAGAAGAGAAAGTGAATCGTTAGAAGAACCAGCCCAAATATGACAACAGTATTCCATACAGGAACGAATAAGAGATTTGTAGAGGTAGAGAATGGAATCAGAAGTAACGAAATGGCGAGCACGATAATGAGAAGCAACCTTAGCAGAAGCTAATTTAGCAATCGATTGTATATATGGTTTCCATGAAAGGTCAGTAGTAAGCGATAATCCAAAAAGACGTAAAAAGGAGGACTCAGTAAGAGGATTGCCATTCATTAATATAGGAATGTTGACCATATTACGGTAGTTGTTTGCAGTAAGCAATTGGGTTTTTTTAGAGTTGAAATTCACAAGCCACTGTAAACCCCAATCTATTACTGAAGTGAGATCAGATTCAAGATCAGCTGCTTGTTCTAGGCGATCGAAAAGAGAAGACTATTTGTCAAGACAGGAGTATAAAGTTGAGTCATCAGCAAAAAGAGCTACTTTAGATGAAAGGTTGTCAGGAAGATCGTTTATGTAGATAAGAAACAAAACAGGGCCCAGGATGGAACCTTGGGGAACCCCAGAAGTTACTGGAAATAAAGAAGAGTGTTGGCCTTCAAGGATGACTTTAATAAACCGGTTAGAAAGAAATGATTTGATAATCTCAAAAACTTTCCCAGAAACACCATATGAAGCAAGCTTATGGAGAAGACCAGCATGCCAAACTTTGTTGAAAGCTTTAGATATATCGAGAGCAATAGCCCTAGCCTCACCACCTCCATCTAATGCACGATAAAATCTTTCAGTTACAGCAGTTAGCAAGTCGGCCGTAGAGCGAGAGGATCGAAAACCGTATTGATTGTCTGACAGCAGTTTACTTGACTCAAGATGAGATGTGAGGAATTTGTTGATCAAAGACTCAAAGACCTTGCTAATAACAGAAAGAAGACTGATGGGACGATAATTGGAGGGGTCAGAACTTTCTCCAGAGTTTTTGAATATTGGAACCACAGATGCCATTTTCCAACAAGCAGGAAAACAAGACTCAGTCAAACACTTGTTAAATAGTTTAGAGAGAATTGAAGAAAGTTCTGGAGAACAATTCTGCAAGACTGTGACAGGAATGTTGTCTGGACCACAAGCTGTAGACGAGTTTAATTGAGATATGACTTTAGTAACAGAAGCCGGAGTGATTTGAATGTCTAACAATGGGTCAACCTGTTTGACTGGAATAGAAGGAAGAGAATGTCCATAAGATTCAAGAGTGGAATTAGAAGAAAAGCTCTTTGCAAACAGTTCTGCCTTATCCCTGGGAGAGGTAACAAGATCAGTCCCATGAATGAGAGATGGAATGTTAGATCTACCCTTGTTAACAATGCTGTTGAAGATTTTCCAAAAGTCTTTAGAGCCTAACTTCTGCGATAAGATGCGAGATTTAGTGAACTGAGAATAATGGAGTTTAGCATCAGAAAGCACCTTTTTACATCGATTTCTTGCAATAATAAATAGCCGTTTGTTCTCAAGAGAGTTGTTCTTTTGAAAAAGATGAAAAAAATGATTACGATTGGATATAGCAGCCGCACAAGAAGGAGAAAACCATGGAGTAGAATGAGGCTTGACTTGAAACCGAGGAGAAAGAATAAAAGCTTCCATTCCAGCCTGAATCCAGGAGGTTACGTAGGAGGCGCATTTGTCAGCTGAGAGAGAAAAATTATCAGCCCAAGGACGATCACGAAGAAAATCACGAAAGGAATCCCAGTCAGCTTTAGGGTAGTAGTAGGTGGTGCGATGATAAGGTGAGCCCAAAAAAGAAGTACAAGAAGAAAGATTTATAGAGATCATTGCATGGTCAGAACCACCTAAGGAAGAAAAGGGAGAAACTGAACATAAGCTAGGGTCAGAGACAAGACATAAGTCAAGGAGTGAAGGTAAATGATTAGGGTTGTCAGAAAAACGAGTCACAAAGTTAACTATCTGAGTAAGAGATTGAGAAACGCAGAAGTTAAAGGCTTTAGTGCCAGCAGGATCAGTGGTGTTAGAGCCAAGCCATTCAGTGTGATGGGCATTAAAATCACCAACAACAACAATATTGGCAGAGGGGTAAAGATAGAGGGCATGGTCAATTTGATCAGAGATAACATCTAAAAGAGTGCAATCAAGGGAAGAAGGAGAACGATAAAGAACAAAGAGAAAGGTGATAGAGTGAAGAGGTGCTAGGCGAAAGCACATAAAAGAATGGTCAAAGGATTCGAACCTGATTTCACGACAAATAGGGGAATTAATGCGTATGTATACCCCTAAACCTAGCATGTGACTATTGGAGTCTTTACGAATCAAAGGATAGTACCCATCAACACTGACATCTGAAGAAGGAATTGCAGAATTTAAATTTGTTTCACTGAGTGCAAGCAAGTCTGGTGAATTTTGCAGGAGGTAAGACTCAACTGATGGAAAGTTGCTTCGTAGACCGCGAATATTTGTAAAAGATATATTAAAATATTTAGGTGGTGGGGATGGTTTTTTAGGTTTTAAATTTTTGCTTACTTTGGTCATGATTTGGGTTTAATGAGAACTTGACTCATTCATAGATAGAGCACAGCCTCCTAATCAATAAGCTATGCAGTTGTCTCAGTCCTGTTAATTAACCCTAAGCCGTGACATAGGGCTCCTTATGTGGCTTTGACAATGCACACCAAAAGCATTAACAGGGACACCATCCATGCGCAACATGGCACTGTTAATACTCTGATATTTTGCAGCTGTTGATGGAATCAGCCTCTCTGAGAGCTACCACAGAGTTCGGGAAACCTTACTACCAGCTGGCCTCAGAACCATTAAACTGAGTTTTAGAGCTGTACCCTCATATGGAGATAACAGGAAGAGTTGCATAGCCATTATCAAGGAGGCATAAGCAAAATTCTATGAGTAGAGTCAAGGAGATCCAGCATTCATCATCTTAGGCAGGAAACAATATAACACAGGTTACATCTACGCCAGCCTAATAGATGAAGAAGGGGTTCGAGGCTGGTTAGCAGAATTTTTCTGCTTACCCCTAAAGTCTTTGCCTAGGAGGCCTTCTACAAGACAGTAGCAGGATGCAGTTAACATCTGCCCAAGATGAGTATTTTTATCGAGACACCATCTCTAGCCTTTACTCAACCAAGAGCCCCAAGGCAGGGGATGTTTAGCTGGATGCAGTTAACATCTGCCCAAGATGAGTGTTTTTATCGAGACACCATCTCTAGCCTTTACTCAACCAAGAGCCCCAAGGCAGGGGAATTTTTAGTCGGAGTTTATTTCTCCTAGCCTTTGCATAAGAAGAGCACACTCTGCAAGGCAGCAGGGCTTGTGGCAGGTGGTACTGGGTTACGTGATACCAGTAGCAAGATTGATCTCGATTATTCTGCATTAGAGTATAAACAGAACACAAACAAACATAAATCAACTTACGGGTGAGTCAACACCGCGCCAGAGGTTCAGACAGAACACAAACATACATAAAAAACATAAAGTAACTTACGGGTGAGCGAACACCGCGCCAGAGGTTCAGACAGAACACAAACATACATTAAAAAACATAAAAAACATAAACATAAACATAAATTTACGGGAGCAATTTAAAAAAATAAAAACAAAAATGACATTTAAAAAAAATTAATTGCATAATATACTGCAAACGCTTTTTAAAAGGTTGTTGCAAAAAAATATATAATTAAAAAAAGAGCGCTAATTTAAATTAGTTTGTTTTAGAAGAGCTTTTCTTAGCTCTCGCACTCATTTATTCCCGCCAAGGCCTATATATATATATATATATATATATATATATATATATATATATATATATATATATATATATATATATATATATATATATATATATATATATATATATATATATATATATATATATATATATATATATATATAGTATATATATATATATATATATATATATATATATATATATATATATATATATATATATATATATATATATATATATATATATATATATATATATATATATATATATATATATATATATATTATAGGGTGCAGTAGTAATTAAAAAAAAAATGTTATAAAAAAAACTCACATATCCAATATCTGGCCTATGACATGTATATGCAGCAAGAAGGTGTTTGAGAGTTTCGTGATATGGTCCACCCTGAAAATAAATTTTGCTGTTACTTTAAATTTTGTTATTTTTTTGTTAATTTATCATATATTTCAAAAAGAAAAAATATACTTTTTATATATTTACATATATAACTATAATATTTATATACATAATTTTTACACTCACAGTGACAGTGCAGCATAGTAAAAGATACATTTCGTGATTAAACATTATTTTAATCGTAAAATAATGTTGAATCACGAAATAATTAGGCATAATCTTTATATTAGACATTTGTTTTTATGTTGATTTAAATTAGTTTCTAAACAATAATAAAATACATATTGTTTATGATAAAAAACATGTCACAGTGAAAATGATGCAACTATATATATTGCCATATCTCTCAAAAATCTGAAGTAACTAACAAGAATTACATTCTTTTGTTTTAGTATGACATCTTTCAAAATATTATTAATACTTTAATTAATAAATTAATATGTTAATATGTTAATATGTATTAATAAATTAATATGTTAATTATTAATCTGGTTGTTAATTAATTAACTCTGTTAATTAATTAACTCTTGAAGAAAGACAATTAATCCTATCTTATTTCCAAAATAAAAAAAGTCAACGAGAAATTGCAAAAACTGTTAATAAATATCTACAGTGCAGCATATTATAGCACGTTATCAAAATGAAAATAGTACAAAAAATAAAGTGAAAATAAGTATCAAAAGAAGTTTTACAATAAGAGAATGTTGGATTGTCCAATAAGAGAAGAATGTTGGATTGTCCGAACTTGTCTTAAGTGCACCAAAGCTTGCTATTGAGGTGAAAAACAATTTGGAAAAAATCAAGAAACAATCTGTAGAGTTTTATAAAAAAAATGATTACATGGTAGAATGGCTTAGAGGAAGCCATTTAGAATCAAGCAAAATAAAAAAAATTGACTCAAGTTTGCCAATGATTATAAAAACAAAGATTTTAACTACTGGAAGAATGTTTTATTCACTGATGAAAGTATGGTTGAATAAATATATGGCAAAGAGTGAATGAAGAGATGAAACTTCTACATTTAAGACCAACCTTAAAACATGGTGGTGGTCATGTAATGGTTTGGAGTTGTTGCTCAGCTTATGACTTTATCAACCAATGTTGAAAAACTGGGCATAAAAGATAATTTTGTATTTTACCAGGCCAACGATCCCAAACATACATCCTACAGTGTGAGAGTGGTTATTGCACAATTGTCCTAAAGTGATGAAAACTCCGCCACAGTCTCCTGATATTAATATTATTGAAAATTTATGGCATAAAATAAACTTAGAAATTCATAAACATACCATAAATAATAAAAATAATTTAAAACCAGAATATACAAACAAATTGGTGTTGAAAAGCAATTGATTTCACACCATCACAATTAGTTTTTTCTTTAAAAAAATATTTTTGCAATTTTTATCCTTTCTAATTTAGAATTTTTTTGACCATTCTTAAAAGTAATGTTTTTGTCTGTGTTTTTTATCAGGTTAAAATTGAATATAAGTATGATCATTTGCTCTCTTGTGCAGAGATTTTTAATTCAACATAAAGTGCTTTTGAATTTAAATTACTCTTAATCTCTGTGTGGAAGCCAATAATATTTTAAAGTTATTATTTAGTTTGATCTACTGAATGAATACAGTACATCACAGTAAATTTACCAATAAACTATTTCAAAACAACCAGTTAAATTACTACAGTGACTTATAGTTACTGAACTATTGAATTTACTTAATATACTCAAAGACTTGCAAAAGTTAACCATACAAATGATTCTATTTTATATGTTGTTAACACATAACATGAGCTTCTAACTAAAAATTATTTTAACAAGAAATTTTGAATAGAATATGAAAAAAGCAATACAATTTTTTTATATTTTCATTTTATTTAAAGCGATATCAAGATTAAACATTTTCTATAAATACGCAATTTGTTTTTAGGAATTTTTTTTAAAAGAAATTTATTTGAACAATAGAATTTTAGTCTTCTAAAATTCTCTATTTCAAATAATTTTGTGATTGAAATTTGAAATTAAAAAAAAAAAAATTGGAAAAATTTGCAGCGACGCCAGTAATACCAAGAGACATAGTGAGGATCATTCCTGAAAGTTAAACGTTAAAGTTATATAGAACAAAATGCAAGTGAAAAATAAAGTTTTATTTCAATAATAAAGATTTTGAATAGTTAATTATTTTTTGTTTCTTGAAAATAGTTTTAAAAGTAGAAACATTCTATTATAAACATTAAACCAGTGATTATTGAAACATTAAACCAAAAAATTGAACATAAATATTTAATAAAAATAAAAAATTTAAATAAAAAAAAATAATAAATTGTTTTAATTCTGTTCAAAGAAATTTTTTTCTAAAAAAATAGTTTTAGCATATACTTATTTATATTTAGTTTTAGCATATACTTAGTCTTAGCATATATTTAGTTTTAGAATATACTTATTAAACTTAAAAAAATATGATTTTATTTATTAGACCAAATTTTTTCCTTTCACTTTTTGTTTCAAATCAATTTTAATGAAAATATTGAATAAAAACATCAATTTAAAAATCATTTGAGTGAAAAAATTAATTATACTTAAATTTTTAATAGTACATTAGATCAAGAAACCATAAATTATAAAAAATGTGGTATCTTATGTTTTTTTGCTTTGATCTTATTGGTTTGGTCTATAGATTATAGACTTATATATAGTTATTTTTTTCCCCATAATCAAACATTGAATGAAGCTTAGCTCCAGGCAGATGCAAATTTTCATTACCTCGTAGATAAAGCAGTTTTCCTTATTAACATTAGATATTTGAGTTAAAATCAAGGAAAAACAAACACAGTTATATATAAAATTATAGTTTAAAGTTTTACAATGATAATGTTTTAATTTATTTATCAGAACAATTATATTTTTTTACTTAGTTTTATTTTAAACACTTTTTATGTTATTAATATTATAAACTGTATAAAACAGCAATAAAATAGTGCTGCGTTTTACATCAACACAAGCTCTTTAAATTGTAAAAACAACTTTGCAGTTTATTTTATTGTTGTTTTATAGCTTTATACAATAACTCAATACTCTTTAAAAATAACACATATTTTATCGCCAGCATGAACGTATTAAATAGTTTTCTATAACTAATTAAAATGGTTTATAAATATTAAATACTTGCGTTTTTACTTTTACTTTGCTTTTTTAAGCATCATGTCAATTAAAAACATTTACTAAAAGTAATATCATACTAGTATTAAATACGTCACTTGCTCATTACATTAAAGATATAAATCTTGGTCATTACACTTTAACTGAAACTTAAACTTTATATTATGAAAATTGTAAAAAAAAATTTTTGTTTTGCGATTAGATTTTTTTTGCGTTAATTAGAACCCTGTAGTAGTATTTCAGCAATAATTAAAATTATCAATAGATTTAAAGCATGTATGCCCACTGTTTTCTTATCTATATATAGTAACATGCAGGTGAGAATATTTGTTCAAACGAATTGCATATCTTAAAATAAATCTAATAATTTAATAAATATCCAACTGGTGACATGTCAATGTCAAGGTTACCCTGTATTACTATATATACCTGTCTTGTTTTTCTTCATATGTATCATATCAAACCTTCCCGGGAAACGGGTGCGTTCGCATGCCTTGTATGTCTATGTTTAAAGTAATTTTTTTAGACACACTGACCATGGTAGTTTGCATTTTTTAACTTTTAAAGTGTTTCAATTTGCGGCAAAATGCTTAATTTATCTACTGAAAAAAAAATATATACTAAAAAAGGAAACAAAATTGTAACGAAATATCAAGATTTCATTAAATTTTTTTTTTTTAACTTTTTTTTTTAATTAATTTTTTATACAACTTTTGTATTTTTTTTTTAGGGTGGTTGTTATTTTTAGCTAGAGATTTTGATACAAGTCAAGGAAAGAAACATATTTTATAACAACAATTGAAATTTGGTATGCAATTTATTCACAATTTTTATGAAACTAATTTGCTATGTACTTTAGAACTTTTTTTTTCTTATGTTTAAATTTTTTTTTCTTATATTTATTTGTTTTCTCGTCTTTAGTTTTAAAAATGTTCCCACTATATTTAACATTTTTCTCAATATTTATATAATAGAAAAAAATAAATTTCTATTTATTTGTAAAATACATTATTTGATTAATAAATTTTGAAATGACGAAAGAAAGTAAATAAAAGAATACCATGATTTTTTTTTTATGTATTTACAATACTTGATGACTGTCTGAAATTGTTACCTTTGTATTACCCAATTTTCAATGTTAAAACAAATTACTAGAGATAATGAACATAATAATTGTCCTGTTTGAAAAAATGTTTTTAAAAACTTTAAAAAATGTTTTAAATAGGTTCCTAGAAGTTTTGTTAAAAATGTTCAGTAATATAGCAATGGAGCATTGAAAACAAAAGTTCATCAGGAAATTAACTATTGGATTTAAATGCATAATTTGGTCCAACAACAGTGCAGACTATTTCAATGGAGGTAGTGAAAACAACCAAATATTTTATTTTTAATTATTAGTTTCAATGACTTTTTATTATTTAACATAAAAAACTTGTTAAAAAAATAAAAAAAGTATATTTAACAAATAAATAGCAATTAGTTTTCTTGCTTTCCTGTGCATTGATAACTGTAAAGTTTAGCAAAAACATTTGAAAAACAAATTTTAAAATTGCCCTTATTTATAACAAATAATAAAGTATTTCCTTAATATACTGACTGACAAAATTTGCATTTATATATCAAAAAAAGCTTTTTTGATATATAATAATGTTTTTGTTTTTGTTATATTCTTATCTGCTTTCTTTCTCGGCTTGTATTTATTTTGGCAGTGGAAAATAACAAACATTCTAAAAAAAACTAAAAAAAAACCAGTAAATTATTTAGGTTTTTTTTTTTTGAAAAAAATTTTTTTTTTGAAAAAATTTTCTTTTTTTACTTTTAAATTTTT